CTTTGTTACTAGTAGCTTCTTGTTACTAGTAGTAATGCCAGGAGCTACTAGTACCTTCTTGCTCCAAGTAGCGATGCCCTTTGTTACCAGTAGCTTCTTGTTACTAGTAGTAATGCCAGGAGCTACTAGTAGCTTTTTGCTCCTAGTAGCGATGCCCTTTGTTTCTAGTAGCTTCTTGTTGCTATTAGTAATGCCAGGAGCCACTAGTAGTTTCTTGCTCCTAGTAGCGATGCCCTTTGTGACTAGTAGCTTCTTGTTACTAGTAGTAATGCCAGGAGCTACTAGTAGCTTCTTGCTCCTAATAGCGATGCCCTTTGTTACTAGTAGCTTCTTGTTACTAGTAATAATGCCAGGAGCTACTAGTAGCTTCTTGCTCCTAGTAGCGATGCCCTTTGTTACTAGTAGCTACTTGTTACTAGTAGTAATGCCAGGAGCTACTAGTAGATTCTTTCTCCTAGTAGCGATGCTGTTTGTTACTAGTAGCTTCTTGTTACTAGTTGTATTGCCAGGAGCTACTAGTAGCTTCTTGCTCAGTAGTTTCATGTTACGAGTAATAATGCCAGGAGCTACTAGTAGCTTCTTGCTCCTAGTAGCGATGCGCTTTGCTACTAGTAACTTCTTGGTACTAGTAGTAATGCCGGGAGCTACTAGTAGCTTCTCGCTCCTAGTAGCGATGCCCTTTGTTGCTAGTAGCTTCTTGTTACTAGTAGTATTGGCCTCCAACCAAATAGCGATGGCTTTCGCCTAGTAGCTTCTTGTTACTATTTTTGACAATCCCTTGGTGCGCTCTCTCGCACTTGTCCATGCCCTTCTCACAATTTACAATATTGGCTTGATTTCTCTCGAGAGCCGCTTTGGGCCACTTTGCATCTTACCCATGAACCTGTCCTGTCTTCAGCCGGAGGCACGGCGCCCTCATGAGAGCCGAGGAGGAGGTCAGACGAATCATCTTCTGCATAGATATCCCAAAGACGGATGGAGCAGTCTTCACCTTGTTCGTGCCCACAAGACTTTGTTCTGTTTTTGTTTGCGTGGTTGCTTTTGCAACTCAGCATACTGTCCCCACTTCAATGTTCGAGGACCCGCCAGAAAGGGCACTCTATCTGTGGTGTCTTTAACGCATCTCCAACCAAGCTAGCCAAGTTGAAAAGCCCATGCGTTGTTCAAGCCACGGCGAAAAGCAAAACCAAAGGTTGCCAAAGGGGTTTGCGAGAGTCGCTGGCGAAAGTATTGTTTAGCATGGTTTGGCATGATTTAATCAATCCTTCGACCTTCGAAGGCCTGCACAATGCAAAAAAGGGCAACTGTAACAACAAAAACAAGTATCCAGCCCCTTTGTGTCGCATGCTTACTACAAAGAAAGGACTCGATGCTCTCAAAATCCATGGGGAAGAAGATGGAAGAAGTACACTTACAGATCTTACAGCAACGCTATGGGAATTGGGAAAATTCATCTGTGAGAGGCGTTTCGTCTTGATATGTCACCCTGTCCACTCGGTCAGCAAGTCCGAGGATTCGACTGCCAGAGACTGCCAGACCACAGGACCAATCGACACTGCAAGATGTGACGCCTGAGCCGGTCCATGGACCATCGAAGAACGCATATTGACCGTGAAATTCTCACAGCTGTCTGCAGCATGCACCTCTTCTATGCCCGTCAAATTCCTGAAAATAGTCCTGACTTGACGGGAAAAAACAGTCCAAAAAGAATCAAACTGGCCAAACTGGGTGCAGAGTATAAAGATAGACACGCTTCAAATAAAACAGTTCAAAAACAAACAACCTGACTATGCTCAAACATTGTTTGCCCTGGAGGAAGAATTGAACCAGCAGTTCCTTTATCGGCTATAAAACAGCTCCAAAGTCTTGCCTGGAAGACTTGTGAAGGAGCCCCAGAGTGATAAAACAAGCGGAACGCAATCTGACACCAAGGATCGGTTGAATTGAAAGGCCACATGCGCAAACACGAGTCGAAGCTTCCAGTCAGAAAGTGAGCGGAACGCCAGTCCACATCCAGTGACCTCCAAAAGAAAAACTATCAGAATATCAATGTTGCAGTGGTGCGGCGTGTCATAGACGGCCCTGTTCCACTTGGCTTTGAAAGCTGTGGCTTGCTTGTGCCTGCACATGTGTCTGTGTGAAGCTTCGCGCGCACCTTAGAGAAAATGTCGAGCATTTTGCTCTCACCATCCCAGGCTCAAACCCCCTGCTCGATTCCATATGTTGCGCCATGTGAACACTAGGTCAGGTCATCTGGTGTGGCACTCTTGGCTCCTTTTGCGCACTTCAGCTTTGCACAATCACCGTAGCTGTGAACGCTGTGAGCCACTGTGCTTTGGGCTCCCGTCCAGCGCGTCATGGGCTCGTCAAGGCTCCCGTCCAGCATGTATGCCTGTCGGTCTGCGGTGATCAGCTGCCATCCTTGCCTGATGCAAATGTCCATGTGTACAGATGCGCCGCCCTCATTGGATCTGGTGGCCTTTCTGGGCATCAGCTGCTTTACCGCGGTCCCCAGCAAGTCGCGCATCACCCTGATGGCTGCTTGCACGCAGCTCTCTCCAAGATTTGGTGTCTTTGGTGAGTTTTGCACGGCATACTGACAGCCTGGCCTGTCAAATCGAGCGCCCATCCTCATTCCGCTGCCTGGGCATCTTCTGCGCCTCTCTCGTGGATCTCTTTCTTCACCTCTTTCTCTAAGCACCTGGAAATCCTCCACGCGCCCTCCTGGCCCGCAACCACAGACGTCGACCACGTGCAAACGATGGAAAAACCAACCTGCAATGACACTGTCCTCAAATCTCAACTTCTTCAGCTTTCTGACAAACCATTCTACCCATCTTGCTGCTGCAGCTCGTCAAACATACCCCCCGACATGGAGTTTTCACGTCACAGCCGTTGGCTTACCGCTGTTTGTCTCTCTTCAAGCCATTCCTTTGGCGGAAATAGCGCTCCTCCTTGGTTGGCACTTGCCAGAATCCATTGGTTGCATCTCCTGTTCCTGTGAAGAACGTGTAGCCTGCCTTCACCCCCACAAAGTCAATGATCCTCGATGTTGCACAGGTTGAGCTGGCTTCAAAGACATCAGTCCTCCAACAGTTCGTCTTGAGACAATACCTTGCCTTGCCCTCATCAATCCTGTTGGCTTCCTGCTTGGCAGCCAGTCGCTCTCAGAAAACATCTTTCTCTCACTTTCGTTTGCCGAAGCTGGCAGTGTAGCTTGACGTCTCCATCTTCCTCTATTGCTTGGCTGCCAGCTTTTCAGGGCATCAGATGCTGGCCTGGCTGTTCTCCTGATCCTCAAACTCCCTTCAATATTGGTTCGTCATACCTACTACCTTTCAGCTCTCCCTCGCGCTTCCTCCAATGATCATGCTCACACCAAGTCCTTCCACGCTCTGGACCAAGGCCTTGTACAGTGTCCATGCGTCCAGCTTGCTGTTGTCATTCAGGCGCGTCAGAATGAGGTCATTTGGTGTGTCTGCAACCTCAGGTGCTTCAATCGGGGCCGTATGGTTCATGCCGAAGAGCGAGGCGGCCACAAACATTCAGGTCACCCAGTCTTCCCCCTTTCCATTGAAGGTCCTAATTGTCCATAGGCCTTTGGATCCAATCAATTGCCCATTCAGGCGGCACAGCAGGCTCCTGAGCTGCCTGACTGACCTCTCCCTGGGCCCGCCACCTGCTTGCCCGGGCTCGGTGGTCTTATGTTGCCCATCTGCCCCGGAGGGCTCCGCTACCATGCAGCGGAGTGGCGTGCCACAAACTACGGACCCCTTTTCAATTGAGCTTTGAAGGCTGTGGTTTGTGTGTGTGTCTGTCTGTTGTGTGAAACCTTGCAAATGTTACAGTACATACTTTTGCTTACATTTAGTGACGCATCCATCGACAGAAGAAGCACCAAGCTACGATTGCGATTTCTGTTGCTTGCATGCTACACTTGGTATATGTGGTCATTATATATATATATATAATGTACGTATTGTATTCTTTATACATGGTACTGTAATCATCTGGAGAGCTCGACTTCTCGCCTCACAGCATCCTGGTGTGCTAGCAACAGTTGAAGACAGCTGCCAGTGGTAAGGCACCAACGGCGGATGGTGCCATCCTGTCCACCACTGAAGGCATCAGGAAAGCAAAGTGCTACCTGATCCAGGAGGGGTGAGGGGTGCATCAGAGCGGTCATTTATATTATATATATAAGGGTTGCAACGCGTGGGGGGCGTGCAGACTCGTTTGCCAAGTTGCTGCCCAAACAGCACCAGTGTGACCCGTAAGGAGACTAGTGCAGGAAGCCTCAAGGTAACCATCAAAACCATGAAAGCACGACAAATAGTAAAATGTAGACTATGACACTCTCAGTGTCATAGCAGTTCTCCAGGCGGAGCAAACATCTTCTTTCCAAGCAGCTGTCTCCAAGTCCCAAAGCCTGAGGAAAGGGATTCAAATTCGGTCTCCGACCATGGGATCGAGCGTTCTTATTTTGCTGCGAGAAAGCATTATACATTCCTTATAAATAAATATAATTGAATAATACGTAATATGTGCATCATCTGCTATCCAACATAGGCTTGCTTGTAGGTACCCAATTGCCAGGATCAAGTCCGACGCTTGAACCGGCTTGCAAACTGCTTTTCTCATCCCCGGAAAGGAGCGGTTGTAGTCCATAGATGTCTAATTATAGTCCAAAGAACTGAATATCAGCCCAGAACCGCGCCTCCATGAATCAAAAACATGTCGGTGTCACAGAGCCCTATGTGCACCAAACAAAGCAAATCATTTGGTGGCACCGGTCGAACAAAATTGAAAAGGTTGAAACCCTGGTAGCAATGGCCTCCAACCTAAGAGCGATGGCCTCCAACCTACTAGTTTCTTGCTCCCTGGATGTTGCTGAAACAAGTTTCCGAGACCCTGGACCCTTCCCGAAAGTCCTGACGGTATTCAGACAATGCGGTAGCTAGATACAACTTGAAGACAATGTACCGTCTCGCACCTCAATGTACCGTCTCGCGCTCCACTGATGCAATGCCCATCATGCCAAGCTGTTGCACTGCAGCAAACCCAATCGATGTGGCCCGTCAAGCGCGCCACAATCTGCGATTTGCTCAGCGCGGCGGTATCCAAGTGTCAAAGCTAAGCTAGGAATCGTGCAAATGAACAACCAAAATGAACGTTCCAAACTTGGTACGTTTCTACTGATCCTTCGTTTTTGGGTTTCTGGCTTTGCTTTCGGATTTGCACCAGTTAGGCTACTATGCTCTGTTTGTTCAACAAGTGAGTTAGATTACCACTGCACCTTTACAATGTGAAGCACGGCGCCACTCCAACAGTGCGGCTTTTCTCTCACAACTCATGTCGGCCGGGGTCTACAAAGGACACTTTTTCGTGGATTTTGTTTTCATGTTGGCTTCGTTTTAATAAACTCCATTTCATACGCTCCAAGCCCTCAAGATAAAATAGTCGAATGCAACGGGCCAGAGAGTCCAAGGGTCCAAGGTCTGCAGGAGACACAACAAAGCTACGATCCGATGGCTTCCCAGCTTCGACTTTCGAGCTCAAAACAGGATGCAAGCATCCCACCAAGAGGTTTCGTTTTCAGTTTCCGGTTTCGTTTCCAAAGGAATGTGCAAAATGTCACTCCACATGGACCATTTTGTAAAGTAACTTAACGCATCTTAACGCTAAGTTTTTAGGGGTGGCTCAAATCTTGGTAGGAGGCCAAACGTGCAATATCCAAAGTATGTAGATTGAACTCCGGCCTCACCCGAGGTGAGGTCCCAAAGGACAAGACTGCGATCGAAGCTGCCACTAATTGCCCGCCGCCCTTGCCAATCCTGAGATTGTCATTGCACGATTGGCGATCCATGTGGCCTTCCAATCGAATAGCGAGCGGGAAGATATGAATCCGAGAGTATCAACTGCAGACACAGCAACTGGGGCCAAAGTAATTCATAAACGTCACTCTGCTCCGCATATCACGCCTACTATGTTCTATGTCTTTCATTGTCTTCCTACCCGTGTACAAAGTTGGGACGACCAATCGAATTTTTCAGCCCAAGATGCTGCTTCTACACAGCGTATGGTGTCCTCGTGACCTCTCAAGGTTTGGCGAACCTGAACGTCATGAAGCGTCGTGAGTGGTTGATAATTTGTAGTTTGTCACGCTTCCACGTTTTCTTCGCAACGAAATCAATGTCAACTGAGTATATATACATACCTGAGAAGGGGGGGACGAAAGCCAGCAGCTGCCAGACGAATGTCTCTTTTTCTGGCGGGCGTCGCAGCACAAGACACATGGTCGGCAGCTTGCGAGTCAGCGGTGCTGCGGATGCGGGGGGGGCATATGTATGGTGATGGAGGGAGCAGAGAAGCAAGCCGGGCGGCTTTGGGATAAGTTTGGTATGAAAGAAGTAGTGAAAAAGAAGTGCGATACGTTGTATGTTGGTGTAGGTCATCACCACAAGGCAATGGCATGCAATTGTCACACGCAGGAAGGTATGCGTCTTATAGAAGTTGGAAGGCGACATCGGCGTTACCGAAGGGGAAATACCATCTAAGTTCGGGTGGTGGGATACCACGCGCGCGCGCGCCGCGCGCCGCGCGCGCGCAGGAAGACCTTCTCCATAGTCAGCGTGGCCGCGCGCGCGCCAGTATGGCGTGGGGTTGAAAAGAAGCAAGTAGGTGTTTGTTACATTTGGAGTGTTTGAAGTTTGCAATGCATACTGCAGCACGTCGAAAAAAGCGGCATTCGTTGATTTGGAAGAGTGAACGGGCACGTCTTAGCCGGGACGCGGACGTTTGATCCCGCGGCGCAGAAGGGGAGGTCGCGCGGGAGTAGCTTGGAGTGAGGATTTGCGCGCCTATCGATGCACATGCCTGGACTTGAGTGAGTCATGTCCTGGCTCGATCCAAAACACCTTTGAAGGTGCCCTTTTTAAACGATCCAAACACCTTCTTTGTTCTTCTCTTTCTTATCAACTCTGCGCTTTTCTCACTCAGAGGCCTTGACTTTGGCACCTGCGTGTGTTGATGTTTGGGCCGTGGACCCAGGCTGACGGGATTCGGCCAGGGCTGCCAGCAAAAATCTCTCTTTCTCTATCTCTCTATCTATCTATTATCTAAAGGCTCATCTAGCTTGAACCGGTGTCTTCCAAATAGCAAGTGGGTGTTTGATCTGGAACCTTGTTGTCAAGTTTCTTGCTGGCTCCGTTAAAAGCATGTAACACAGCCATGTAGTTTATTTGGTCCTGCTTGGGAGCAAAGAGCTCTAAGAATGAGAGGCAACATCCACATGCACCTGATACACGCAAGACTGACCTATATATATATATACAGTCATGGAACTTCAAGAATTTCGATTTCTTCGTAGTGGGCAGCCATGCCAGCGTGGAGATATGATGATGATGGAGACGTTACGTGTGAAGAGTCCGCAGAGACCATCTCCTTCCTCACAACCACGAACACAATCCACCGCTTCTGGCGCCACAGCCAAGCACAACTATTTCAAAAGTTTTGCGCCACATTTTGATAGAGCTTTCGCTTCAAGATTTTTTAACCACTTGGATGGAGAACGTGGACCTGTCGGAGCTGCAAAAAGAAAGGCTTGACTTTGACCGGGACGTTGCAACTTCAATAGGTCCAACTCGTACTTCACACTATTTGCCAGATCTTTCTCGACCCTCTGCGGAGTCATGCGTTGATCTAGGTCTGTGCGGCCCCGAGGGTTGCCTGAGCCAGCTGGAAGCACCAACCACTGCGCTCAGATGCCCAGCTTGGACGTGTGAAACTTTCTCGGTTTGACATTTACCTCGTATTGGTGCTCAGGAGCGGAGGCTCATCTTGGATTGGAAGTTTATAATTGGGGCAGTCGGACGCAAACACTTGAAGCTTGTAGGTGCAATGTGCGCCCGAAGCTTCGGTGCCTTGCGCCCGGCCAAGCTCGATCAATGGGGCCTTGCAGGAATGAATGAGTTGGAGACGGAAAACCTGTCACAATTTTGCCAGCCAAATTGATTTGGCCGGGAAAACCCGTCACGTTTCACACCGGGGCCCCAGCCCCAAAATGTGATGGTTTTTTGAAAAACCGTCGCAATTAAATAAGGAAAACGAAAACCCGTCAAACTTTCCAGCTCATCCCCAACTTCAAAAAGTGATGGGTTTTTCCAAAACCTATGGGATTGTGATGGGTTTTAAAAAACCCATCGCTTTTCTGGGGTCAGCCGAGCTTCCAGATGGTGATGGGTTTTCTGAGCAAAACCACTCAGCCAAATGGATTTGGCCACCAAAAATGTGATGGGTTTTTAAAAAATCTGTCGCAATTTGACCAGCCAAATCCATTTGGCCGGGAAAACCCGTCACAATTTGACCAGCCAAATCCATTTGGCCAGGAAAACCCATCAAAATATAGCCAGCCAAATCTTTTTGGCCAGGAACACCTCGAACACTTGGTATACCTAGGGTCCAACCGCTTTGCACTTGGAGTAATGAGGTGTTGCAAAACCTGTTTGGCATAAAGGACTTGTCACGGCTTTACTGTTAAATTGTGTTGGTTCAGTAAGGACACCTCAGTTTCCAACAAAGACCAAAGCAGAAGGGCCGGGGCTTTGAGCTGGGCGCGCTTAACCTTGGTAGGCTATTTGACTGCCAGCTAGCTGGCAGCCGATGTGCCAGTTTACTGGCAGCCACAACCTGTTTGAGTTTGTGGTGTGTGCTTGAGGGGCTTTAGGACGAGGTGAGAGTTGTTCGAGTAAAACGGTCGCGTCCTTCGTGATTCTTAGAGCCGCGGCGTGTTGAGGCGATGCGGTAGCAGGGGACAATATCGCGTCACATGGACGATCAAAATGAAAAATAGCATAAGCAAAGATTCAACCTTTTGACCTGCTGGCTTGGTTGCAATGTGCGCATGGAGCCTGGTAATTGAACTTGGCGCTATTTGCTATCATTATGGTTTTGAATGGGATGCCGCGTGATGCGTGCAAGCGCTGATTGTTTGCACATTGCAGCAAATTCTGCGAGTCCGTGGAAAAAGCTACCAGCTTGTGCTTTGGAGTTTACCGGACGGGTAGAAATTTGGACACCCCCTTGCTATTTGGAGGACACTAGGTTCAGGCTAGATGAGCCTGTATGTATCCATCTGTCTGTCTGTCTGTCTATCTATCCATCTATCTGTACCGGCAAGCCGGAAAAACGTTCCGTGCGTGTGGACGCCGCGAGAAGCATCCACTCGACTGAGGACATGGTGCAAGTAGAGGTTTTGCTAGGGGGCAGGAACCCTATGCGGATATGTAGTCAACCTCGCAGGCATCCCCACCGAAACTCAATCCAAATTCATGCACTTGAACTCATGTCACTTTCGGTTCTCTATGGGCTTCGCGAGTTACGGGCTGTCCTGGGAACTCAAATCCTACATGCGGCGGCGCTCTGCTCCGTACGTGGGTCCCTGTCTCCACTCTATTGCTCAACGCCCATTGTCCAAATAGCCTCCGAAGCCCTTCATGATGCTGATGATGCACTACTCGGCATCCATTGCATCACTCGCATCACCAGACCCCATTTTCACTGCTTTTCTGACCCTCGCTTTGGAGCGCTCTCCCCCACCAAGCTCTGGGTTCGCCCTCTCAAATTGCGCCTTTTCGCGACCTCCCCCCCCACACCTTCGTTCGCTCTAAAAGCTCAAGCCTAGCTTATCGGCTGGCTTTCGTAATATATATATATATATATATATATACATCTATTTGTTCATCTGTTTTGCGACTCTTGCGCAAAGCCTCTTCCGGCCTTCCATTCTGACAAGTCCCACAAAATCAGCCGCCGGTCACTGCCACCGCTCCTAAGCTTTGAAGTTGCTTGCAACGGGTACGCTGGTGTCATTTGCCGCCGCGCTTGACACGTCAACGCCAAGGATCAACGCCTCCGAGCCGGCCCAGTTCACTGTGAGGCACAGAATCGTGTCCATATGCCTCGGGGTGATCTCAAGCACTGCGCGCAATGCATGTGCAATGCATGTGCGGTTGCACTGGCGCTTGTGTGAAAAGATGTGAAAAGCTATTCTCTGTCTTTGGACAAGGGTGGGGGGCCATTCCTCTGTGTAGGGCTTAGGCTACTAATACTACCCTGGCCAATGAACCAAATGTCTGAACTGCCCTGCTGTGGTGCTACCACTCATGCGCTCTAATTGACAATGAGTGCTAATATCTTTTTGGGCAGTGAATGTGTCTGGTAATACTCAAATGGAGCAACAAAAAGAGAAGTTCAGACTTGGTCGAACAAACGTAGGAACATCATAGGAAACTCTCTGACTCAGTTAACCAGTTGTCACGCCAATCTTGCTTCTCAAGGTGCCCTTGCAGCCGACCAATACATTTGCCACGCCGGAAGGTCTCACGAAGGCGCAGGACAGAGTCCTCCGAAGGCGCAGGTGGTGCCTTGATTCACAAATCTCTGCTTGGCCAAAGTGAGGACAATTGGAGTCCTCTCCAGCTGCTATGAGCTGATGCTTTTGCCAGTTCACAGACACGGCGGAGGAGCAGCCCAATTCTAAGCTTTGCAAGCCTAGGCATTCAGCGCAAGTGAGGTAGTTGCAAACAGTCAAAGTATCAAGACATATGCAGCTGCTTCACGCACGGCTTGGGGGTATGGCATGCGTGCTGCCCAAGCGCAGCGTCCGCGGCAAAGATCCCAGAGTTTGACGCTTCGGTTTTCCGTGGTGACGGCCAATGCAGATTGCCAATGAACCTAAGTTGTGGTTAGATCTTGGAAGTTGCGTCAACCATCACAAAAAAGGTAAGCACCCGAGCTTCATCCACTCAAACCACTTCAAGAAAGCGTTTATTGTTTCAGCATGCCACTGTTGTAGGGGTGGGTGAAGACTACAGTAATGGTTCTCAGTGCCAAGCCCCTCGTACGCTGTGTCTTGGTGTATTCATATCTCCAAATGGATCCAGGTGTCACTTTGCACATAAATCTCCGGGAACAGAAATCGTTCTTGCTTCTGTTTCATGACTGCAACATGTTGCAAATTACCAAATTGTGCGATTTGTGTCGGTTTGTGGCGTGTCAATTCTGAGTTGTGAGGAGCCTGTTTCGTGAAGCGGCAGAAATTAAAGAACAAGAGCCGCAACAAAGCATCCGGCGTTCCCAAGTGGCTATTGCAAATCAGGAGTGGCAGCTAAGGTGTTTCCTGCTGCAATATCTATGCATTGAGAAACTAAGGCACCCATCGAGCCCAATCACTTGAAACCAAGAAGCGCACATGCAGGTTGCAACTGGACCAGGACCCCCGACCACCTGAGCGCCGTTGGACTAACTAAGCGAGGTTGCTGGACCCACTGACCAGGCCTCAAACTTTCAAAAAGAAGTTTTCTGTTTGCATCCCGATTTCCCTCGCACATGTTCGATCGAGAAACTACCGGAAGTTGAAGCACGTAAAATGCGTGAAGATCAATAGACAAGAATGAAAATAACTCAAACACAAGTGTGCCGGATAAAATGGAGTACGTAGCTCAAGAACATCTACAAAGACTATCGGCTTACAGGGCTTTGGACCCCAGCATGTTCATTGGGAGGGTATCGGCTCTTGGTCCCCTACTGTCCCTTCTTTTACTACGTCCTTTTCTATGCGCAGAATTGTCCGTTGCGAAATCTAGGGTGGATCAGCTCAGACACGCGTAAGCATTGTCCAACAGTGAGGTTCCAGAACTTCAACTGTCCATCCTGCAAGACACAAACATCAGCCAGCGGTCAACCATGGGCTTGCTTAAAGATATTCAAGGAAAATCCATCAAAATCAGACGCCTTGTCAATCTCTCTCAATAAGTGTATCGTGTTTCGATGCAGCTGATAAGCCATGGTTCAACAGCCCTTTCCTCTCCGCATGTCAAGGCACTTCGACCTGACCAATCCACTTCTAAGCCGACCAAAAGACCTCAGCCCAACACAAAATATGCCCCCCTACCAAAAGATAGCACATCCAAACTCGAGAGATAAGATGGCAAACCAGCAAATCAAAAAAATCAAAAAACTGGGGAAAAGTTGCAAAAAGGCACAAAAAGCGCCTGATCCCTTCGACCGGTTTGATGGCACATCAAAGCTCGGTAGTTAAGATGGCAAACCAGTGAAATATATGTTCAAAATGAAGAAAATAAAAATAAAAAAAAACAGCAAAAATTGCAAAAAAGGCAGCAACACGGTCTTTTTCCCACGGCTCTCACCTGCCCCCCTATTATATATACTTCCCCTCTCCTGCGCTTCTCTTCCTCTTTCCTTTGTCTCTTATCCTCTACAGTCCCTCTTTTTTCCTGTATATCTGTCCTATTTTTTTCCTTGCCTTGTTCTTTCCTCTCTTCTGGTTCCTCTTTCATTTGAACCTGCTATATCTTCTTCATCCGTTTTCTCCCCTCCCCCCTGACAGCCTCCCCTCTCATCACCTGGCATGCGCCATCTTAGTGGCTCCAATCATCCCAGCTCTCCCACCTGCCCCACCCCTCTT